ACTGTGGAGGTGAAGGTGGGTTATAATATGAATCATAACTTTTCTCCATTTTTTTTTTCTTTGATAAAAGCTAGCGTTAGATATTTCTGTAATTTATCAAAAAACCTACTTCATGTGATATGTGTACAGTATGCAGGAGATCGCCAACCTAAGTACCTTTTTGATATACTTATATATAGATACAGTTTATATTGTCAATAATGCATGTATTGAATTAAGCCACTCCTAAAATAACGCAGAAACTTTAATAAGTTGTATGATTGTCTACCATATACCTTTAACGAAATGATATTGTCCGACAGAATCATATCGTGTTAAATTTTCTCAAAGATTGACTTCTTAATTCTAATATCAATCCAGAGAGATTCATTGCGAGCAATGTTAGATGGCTTTAACCAATCAAATTTTTATTAGTTTGTAATATAGTTAATAAAAATCGTCTATACCAAATGGAACAGTGAATTAGTATAACAAATTTGATAAATAATGTTTACATATATGGTTAAGTACGGCGTTTTTGTTTTTATCTGAGACTATAATGAAAGCGAAATCTAAAACTAGCAAAGATGAAATGTGAAAACTCGAAAAAATCCTTCAGATAAAATGCATATCCTAAGAACATGGAAACCTTATGAAAATCAAACTCCGACTCATTTTTTCATGATATGAAAATGGGGCCTTGAATTTTATGGCTGTTAAACATACTAAACACAGAAAATACTTTTGTATCAGAGATTGTTAAAATTGCATTAAGCAACCGGTTTTTACCTTTGATAAGCTTTCGCTTTCACTATACTGTAAGAAATAATGAGCCGTAAAAGGATTTTTACATTTTAAATTCCAAAATTCGGAATAGTATGAAGAATTATACAAATAGTTTATTTATTTTTTTTTCTTTGTAAACTTAAATGCATAAGAGATGAGAATAATAAAATTCTGCTTAACCTCAAACATTAAATATTATTAATATTATTATAAATTCGTAAACTTGAATAGTTATTCTAAAATTATATTTACTAGCAGAGGAACCAATGAATATTTATCCATTCAACCCTGCTTACTAGAATAAATCAGAATATACGTAAACATGAATAAATATAGTATGCAGTATCATAAGGTCTTTATACCCAAGTAGCTAGATCGATAATACTGTATAAATTATCTGATAGTAATTGAAATCGATGGGTTTCGAGCGTCGATGAAAAAAAATTGTGTGATTTTTTTTCTATCTGATACACTTCTGATCAGTGTTGGTATTGGACATTTGGACTTTGGACTTATGTTCAATTTGTCCAATTAATTCAAATAATTTGGACGTTGCCCAATTGTATTAAGTGGACATATGTCTAATAATTTTATTGGATGAAGTTCAATATGCTAAATAGTAATATTAAATAAATTTTAGCTATTCAAAAAGCCAGGATAATGTGTCAAAGCTAAAATGACTTGTGTTATTTGTAAATTTGAAAATAATGTATGCTATTTTGCAGTTGGTAAATACTTATTCTTTTATACAATAAATTTTTAGAAGAGCCCAGAAATGATTCATATTAAATTCATAGCCAAAGCATACAATACAGTGTTATCCGTGGTTTAAAATGTTCAAGCTTACAAAATGTCTTTCACAGTAAGCTACTAATAAAATATTTTTGTGTATGTCCAATAATATATAGTTATTTGGCAGTCCGATCATAGTAAGATATTGGATAAAAATATTTACACTTTGACCAATGAAAGTTTGCACAGAATAACTGACGATTTGAATTATATTAGCTATCTGACCAATATAATGATCTAAATGACCTAATGACCCAAATGACCAGATCATTTACTCAAATGACTTGGGGTGTTCTCAAGCATCAACCTAGATGCGATTCCATAGTGCTGTAGTGATCGAAATGGTGCACAAGTATTATGACGTAATTTTAGCTATTGTCTTAACTGTTAACATTTTGAATAAATGTCAATAATACGAATGACGATATTTATTAAAAACATTAATATTCATGTGATTTTCTAGTAATTGTAGTGATGTTCAACTTCTCCAATTTAAAAAGTTTATAAATTTCATAATTTTATGAATTTTTTATAAGTCAGCGCAAAAAAAAAGGTGTTCGGGACAAAAAACTTCTTGACTGAAATGATAAACTCACTGTTCATTTTTTACTTTCAAAATTTTTTCTTTCATGTGATAAACTAATGACAGGCTAGATTGATCGATTAAAAATACTTTCCATTAATTAAAAATTTAATTCCCGACACATTTTCGACATACTTTGACCCAGGGACGGGGAATACTTCCGCTATCAAATTGAAAATTTTTATCATACTAACATCAATTATTCCATAATAATACCGTTGGCCACTGCATACAGTATCCCCCAAAAATAATACCCCCCGTGATTAAGACCCGGGTATTATTCACCACCCATCCTACTTAATTCTTGAATAAGACCCGGGGGGTATAACTATAATGATTTACTACTTTTAATATGATATATCCCCCAGATATAGTACCCGGTTCCTCACACAATACCCACGGGTACTATTCAATTTTAAGAACGAAGTTCTTGAATAAGACCCCGGGTACTGTATGCAGTGGCCAACGGTAATTTTCAATTTCCGAAGATTATTACGATTATTACGCAATAAATAGCGATATTTGATTGGCTATAATTTAGCATTTTATTCATTTTATTCCATTCTATTCTTAATGGAAGTATTCACCGTCCCTGCTTTGACCCATTAATTGAGGCGCTTGAGAACGAACTTGGTTACTTCTAGGAATGAAAAAAAACAGTTTAAACATTTTTTAAAACAGCTGATAATTAAAGTCCAAATAGTTAAATCTGGATTTAATATATTTAACGTTAAGATCATAATCATCACGTGTTTTTAATTGCGCAATAAAAAAATTTTGCCATTCTTAATGGATTGGAACTCTAGTCATTTTAATAGCAAAGATCCCACATTACACCCTCCAATAAACTAAAAAAACTCCCTGCTCTTTTATGAGTACAACTTGTTATCCAATATCTTACTATGATCGGACTGCCAAATAAATTCTTGTTATCTGGCATGATGTGACAGATGACTATATATTATCGCTATCATATGCGATTATCACAATATTTAATCAGGTGACAAAATCGGAAATGAGCAGAATGTGTGTCGCGAAACTTAAAAGAGTATTTGTTATAAAATAAATAGTATAATTATGAGCCCAAATTAACGTTTTTATGACTATAATACGCGCCTTTAGAAAGTATTGACTAATCTTTTGAAAAGCTTCGTGAGTATAGATGCAGCAACATGGTGACGTATGGTTACGTCTAAAAGTTGAGCGGTTACGTCAAAAGTGTCGTAACAGCGTGTGTCATAGTAACCGATACTTGTCGCAACTAAGCTTTTGACCATAACTTTATTATTAGACGTGATGCAGGACGTAATTAGTGTAATGATGAATGTAATTAACTTGATGAATATAATGACAAACATAATTTAACTTTTGAAATAAATAAATCATACAAAAATTTAACTTTTAAAAATAAATAAATACGAAAATTGAAAAATTAACCTTTCTTAAAAAAGCAATAAATTAAAGCGAAAATTATTAATAAATTAAAGAATGTCAACATGCCTTCAACTGAAGAAATATTCTGGCAATCCTGTGCTATTAGAACTTTGTGCCGATGTTACTTCACCATCTGAATCAGAGACTAATTATGATCGACCTCAAACGAGGTGGACTTGTTTTTGACGAAGTATGGGAATATGTTATCAAGAGCAAAAAAGTAAATCCAGGACACTATAATACGACATGTGCTCACTGTGGAAAATTCCTGCCGTTTTAAAATCTCATCTAGCAATTCATTGTCAAGGATCTTGTCGATACTGTCTTAAATATCGAATTAGAAATTCAATAACTACTATATTTAATATAATAATGCAGAATATTTTAACTTTATTTGTGTTAATTGTGCATTAATAGAAATTCAAAGCTTTAATCGTAAAAAATTTGAGACGAATGCATTTAATTATTAAATCTTTGTTTTACAATGTATAATACATTTTAAATAAAATTTTTTTTCAAGAATTTACATTATATAAAATTACATAATACATAATAGAGAACTATTTATAAATCGCTCTTATTCTAGTGGAGTGACCCATTCTATTAGTAAAATTTTTAAAAAAATCCGTTATATGGAAGGTTTATTAATAAATTCGATCGAAGGTGTATAAAATTTATTATCCCGAGAGAATTTCAAATAGATCGGTTTTGATACTTTTTAATTAGTCTTCATATTGAAGTTTACTATATGAGAATGATTGGTATCGTCAAAAGTACGACATAAGCTGTAGCTTTTTGACACAACCTAGATGCCACAAAAACATTACGTCATGTAATAAAATTTTATCCGGGGCATCTTATGTCAGAATTCTACTATAACGATAAGCACTAACTATGCAGGAGGAAGAAAAGTCTATCGTTGAGTTATTAAATTTAAACTACGGTCTTTTTTATAGAAATAGACGCTTTATACCATCTAATCCAATTTTTGACGGTGGAAAGCTGAAGCTTGAAAAATACTCTGATGATTTATTAGTCTACAAGCCAATTAAAAATGGCGTAAATTCACATGAAGGATGGGACATTTTCGAAAAAACATTTTCCACATTAATTACTCAATCTTCCAAACCTATAGAGTCCCAAGAAAAAACATTTAATCTCTCGAAAAATGATATAGGACTATTGATTCCAATTTTAATCATTGAATATCGCGGTGAGGCTAATGAGTCTTTTCAATCAATCATAAATAAACCATCGCAATCAAATGTACCAGATTTTAGATGGATTGGTGAATTTTTTGCGAAAAAAGTTTTAGTTGGGGGAGCTCTAGTAATAAAAGATGCTTTTCAATATTCATATAATTCTTTGGGGAAATTAAAGTCATTAATTATTAAGTCAATCAATAAATTTCGATATGGTAATAAAAATTCATTCAAAAAGACGGTGACAGATTCGGAGCAACTGTCTATTTTTATTGAAGATCTGGACGGAAACTTGTTAAAAAACACGGAAACGTTGGTAAGAAAATACATTATATTTATTTTACACGTTTTCAAAATATTTGTTATTGAAGTATTTGTTATTTAGGATGCATATTATTCAACAATTGTATGAATTTAAGGAGGCTAATGTGATTACTTATGAAGAGGTGATTCCTACTTATATCTTTCTGGATACCGAAAAGCAACAAAAAAGTTTTAATAAACGTCTTGTGCCGGGAATTTCTACTTACCATAAAGAATATAGTATGAGTGTTTGGATAGGGATCCAACAGCTGATCAGAAAATGTAAATTAGAGCATGGATTGGTAATTAACGCAAATGAATTCATTTCTAGCTTATGTCCTGCTGTAGAACTAAAATTGGAGCCCTTAATCAAGCTTCTTGATACAGAAACTAAACTCAATATTTCACATTTGTCGACACAAAAAGAATTACTTTATATAACTAGTTGTATTGACATTTTTAATAATAAATGCAACTTATTGGATAAGATTTTGGATGAAATGCATATTGATTATCAAAAATCTGCTGAATTGCAAATCAACCCCATTCATTGTAGCATCATTTGTGAAAAAATAGAAATAGACATTGAGGATGTAATTGAACCATCTCAACAATTAAAAACTGAAATTGAAGAAGCTTTGAAGAAAAGCAATCCCTATAAGGAATTAGAAAGAGTTTTTGCAAAATACGGGCATGTCTTTTGTATAAAATTCTCTATGGGTGGAAGACTAACAAAGCTAAACGAATTTTCGCTCACTGAATACAAATTCAAGAATGTGTCAAATAACAAATTTGAAGACTTCGAAAGCCATCAAGAAACTCTAAATGCATGGATAAACCTTCTCGATCGATTTAAAATGGATAAAAATATGTACATCATTGAAGAAAGTTTATCACATGCAGTAGCAGTTTCAAATGATAATATTGATGATTGGGCAAAGTCGATTTCAAAGAATCTGGATTCGTGGCAAGTTGTTAATTGCCAGCAGTTTATACCTTTATATAAGCTTTTTAAAGATAATAGACTTCAAAAAGAAATTGAGTTCTTGTATAGTAATGAAAATAGAATTTTAATGACTGGCATTGCTAAACTTAAAAATAATAAAATTAGATATTATTATGAAAAATTTAATCAACCTTTAGAAAGCGACGAATATCAAATAATTGGATCTATAATTTCTGATAGCTCAGAAGTAAATTTAACAGTGAGCTTTCAAATGCTAACTGTTTCAGGATTTTCAATTGTTATTGAAGAGCTTGATAATAAAACTTCAACGAAGCCGATTGCCAAGTTTGTATTTTTATTTAGACATTCATATATATTTATGTAGATTCCGTAATATACAATTTATCAATATTTTAATTTTAGTGACCTGAAAGTCTATTGGCAATTGATTGGAAACCCATTATCTGTTAAATATTTTAACAAAAATAATAGAAATATCCGAATTATAAGTGGTAATATCCCAAATATTAAGCTTACGCGAGAAAAAAATGATCAAAGGATTGATATAGAAAAAACAGGAGACAATTTTACATCAGATTGTGTTATCGCAGCTTCTTTTAAATTTTCCTCAATAAACTTTAGACCTAAACTTGAAGTAATTTTGAATTCTTGGTAATGTATGATAAGGATCAGCTTCGAATAATTTTGATTATAATTCTATGTTTATTACTAAAATACACCGCAATTGTAGGTCAGATAAATGTATCAATTTAAATATTATTAACCACTCATTTAAAGAAATTAATATATATTTTGAAAATGAGCCTCTGGAACTTGAAAAAATTAATTGTAATTTGATATGGTATGTTATTTATACAACGCAACAGGAAACAATTACAGACGATGAACTACATCAAATACCTTGGAAATATCTGGGTCAATATCTCAATAAAGGTATTCAAGAATATCTATCCATCATTTATCTTGCATAAATTGTGTCTTTTTAAAATAACAATGTCTTCCCAATCAAAGAAAAAAAGGAACTCACCGATGATGCGACAAATGAAAAGAATTCACTTGGAGAAAAGTGTGGAAAGTTCAACATGTTATCAAGAATAGTTAATGCCATACAAATTGTAGGCGATTCCATTCAACCTTTTGTTCCATTATTCAGCATGGTCACAAACATCGGTCAACAATTATCAACAGTCTATGAAAACGCCAAATGCAATAAAAAAATTTGTTTAGTATTAGTCGAGCGTGTCGAAATCGCACAATATGCAATGAAATCTTTACAAAGGCGAAAACAGGCTAATGAAAAAATATTTCGAAATCAAAAATATTATTATGCATTTGTTAGATTTGTTAATGTTTTAGAGAATATTAAGAAATTTGCTAAAGAAATTACGCAGCTATCATGCTTTCAAAAATTTATAAATGCCATTGCAATTAAAAATGCATTTTATAAAAATATTATAGAATTTGAGCAAGTATGTGGTGATTTGCATTTTACTATAGCAATGTATGATATTGAACGAAGAGAACAAGAGGCTAAAAATGTAGCCGAAGATATTGACGTTTTGAACAAGGTATCTTATTGTCATTTAAAAAATTTTTTCTTATAATACATAATTTACGTGATTTGAAATTGTAAATTGTAAATTCAAATTATTTGAATAGTCTATGAGTGAGGAAAATCTAACCTCAAAGTGGTGATGAATGAAGTGGCAGCATTAGCATCAAGCATGGAGAATCTGAACACACAGGCCAGCAAATCAGCAGTCAGGGCCACCATAGTGAGAACACCTTTGAACGAGGCATACAAAGCACCCATGGTGGACCCGAATCAATTAATTGAACCATTTGCATCATATGACAATGTTCGTGGCAGTAGAAAAACTGTGGTTAAAAAATTGTTTCATGGACTTGAAGTTGCTTGTAAAAAAGTTACAAATATCGAAAATAACGATGTAGCACAATCACAAAAAGGTCAAACAGAATTGATTATTCTACTTAAATTAGGAACCTTTTGTCCGAATATTGTTACTTTTTATGGGCTTTCGAAAGTTGATAACAACGATGTTATGGTTTTTAACTGGGCATCATACGGCAATTTGAAAGAGATGTACACAAAATATGAAATAAAATGGCCTTTAAAACTGAAATTTGCTCGTGATATATGTAACGGTCTTGTATTCGTGCATCATTGTAACATTTTACATCACGATGTTCGGTGTGAAAATATTTTGGTATGAATGCATTCACGTCTTTAATATTTAAACAAAAATATTTAGCAATGATGATTCTATATAATAATAGATTACAGACAGCTTTGAGGCTAAACTCTCGATGAATCGTACTGTTCAAGGATTATCTGCGGAAGTTGAAAACTTGTTAGATATCGTAAGGTGGTTAGCTCCCGAAAAAATGAGTGTAACAAAAAATGGTGTTGGACAACGATATAATCATCAATGTGAAATGTTTAGGTAAATATTAAATCTTTTACTAATTATGATAAATTAAGTTCATAAAATTAACATGCGTTATTTTATAGTTTTGGAATGTTGCTTTGGGAACTTTGTCATCAAAGAATTCCTTACAAATACATGAATAGTGTAACTGCTATTCAAGAACATGTCATGAATAAAAAACGAGAAACTCTTAAAATCGCACTTTGCCCGTCAGAAATTCCATATGAACTTGCCAAAATCATTAAAAAAGGTGCACATAATAATAATAATTACAGTATTTAATCATATTTTAGAAAGTTCTTAATTGGAATAATCTTATTTATAAAAGCTTGGCAAGATGAACCTTCCGCACGTCCTTCAGATTTAGAAGTACAATTGAAATTAAAAGAACTTTATGAACGGTTTCAGGAAACTTCTCCTCAGATACGTCCTAAGGATCCTTATTGTGACATTGAAATTCTGGATCTTGAATTGACCGAATCACAAATTGAAATGTCTTGTGGATTAATTGAATATTCGATTCCTCAAATACAAACCCTCATGCCTTTTGAAGATGGTATAAAAGAACATAAAGCGAAAAATTACAAGGTTTCTTGGGAATGCTTTGTCGGTCATGCGGATCTTGGAAACAATGTAGCTAAATTTTGGAAGGGTTATTATCTGTTAACTGGGCTTAATGGACATAAGGATATTGAAGCCGCACTTCGTCTCTTTAAGGAAGCAGCGGATAATGGTGTTGCCGATGCTCAAATTCGTTACGCGTTTGCTCTTATTGAAAACAAAAGTAAAAACTTTGCGAAATAATGAAATATATGATGATGGCTGCAGACTATGAAAATTCTACTGCACTTTTTAATTTGGGTGATATTTATTGGAATGGAAAACTTGGGACACCGATTGATAAAGAAAAGGCCGAATCATACCTCAGATTAGCCGCTCTGAAAAATCAACCTAAGGCAATTGCTTTTTTAGAACAAATTAACGCGAAAAAATAAAAAATTCTTAAGTCATTATCGTTATTATATGCATTGTAATATATTTACCCACTCGAAACATGTGCTGCTTGATCGTCCCACTAGGGTGTGCAATACTCTAATTTATCCGGCAAACTCATATGATGAAAAAATCTCACCAGATGGATACAGAAAATCCGTTTAACTGTAAATTGCCAAATTAAAGAAACACACGAAATGATCGGAGGGCCTGACATCATAGTAGAAATAGATGAATCACGGTTCTACAAAAAGAAAGATGGAACAGCCGTATGGGTATTCGGAGGAGTAGAAAGAACTCCCGAAAAGAAAATATTCGCGATAATCGTTAAGGATAGATCGCAAGAAACCCTGATATACTATATTTGGAAATATATTCACCCTGAGTCGATCATATACTCAGATATGTGGAAGGGATACCACAATATCTATGAGAAACTTGAAATAGAACATCATGCTATTAACCATAGCAAGGGAATGGCTGTAACAGACTTTGATCCTAAAACAGGACAGATCAAAGTCATGCACACAAATAGCATTGAAGCACACTGGCGCGTGTTCAAAGACGCTATACTAGCTAGGAATAGAGATTCAAACCATCTTCAAACTAGCTTAAATAAGTTAATTTAGAGAAGACAAAATAAAGACAGAAATATTTGGGACACATTCTTAGAATGTTTACGTGATACTAATTATATAAATGATTTACAATCATTTGGATCTACAAGTTATATTGATGATATAGAATGAAAAATTCATTTGGGAATAAGAATTTATAGAATAAGAAACTTCTATAAAAGAAACCTTATTAAAGCGATCAAGGACATCCAGAACATAATGGATAAACTATAAGCAACTCTAAAAACAAGAAAAACTCTGAAAACCTTCGAAACAATGAACACCCTCAAAACCTGCAACTTCTGTCAAGAAACCATTCCAAGGGCCGCGTACCTGAAACATTTGAGAAGAAAACATCAAGACCAAAAAGATGCTATTGAATTTGAGGAATGGAAACTTAACAAGAAACTTGTCAATAAACCATTGACTATTGGAACCCAAGAAGCTCAACAGGATCATATTGAAAGAAACTATTTTGAAAAACCAAAGATACCTTCGCTTAAGGAAAGGACCTTCACCTCTGTCATCAAAGAACCTAAAGAACCTGAAATATTCTTCTGTGAAGAGTGTGAAATCCAGGTTGATAAACCCACATATGCCCAATTGAAACCTAATACCAAAAAGAACAAAACATCAAGAAACAATTTGAAAAATCTGAAAAGATGAAACCTAAAAATCAGGTTCATTTTGATAATAACAACCAAAAATACCAATGCTTTCATTGTGGCGTACAAGTAACTAATGGAAACTATAACTGTCAAAAAAGATTCCCTAATTTAAAGAAACAAGTAACCAAGTCAATTCTCAAATCATCCAAAAGAAGTAACGAATTTAACGAAAAAGAATATAACAAAAATAAGAATAAGTTTACCTGCAGTATTTGTTATGAAAAAGGACATGTCAATAGAAAATGTCCAAAGAATGAATGTTGGAAATGTAACCAATTAGATCACCAAGCAAGAGACTGCGAAACTAAAAACTTGTTTGATAATAAACCAATTATCAAGAAAACTGAAAATTTATTGGAGAAACCATTATTTGCTAAAGAATCAGAACCTTCTGACAACAGACCTGACAAAGAACCTATTAATAGAAAATTTGAAGACAAACTGAAATCAAGATTTATTACTGAAATATTACCTGCATTAGGATATACTCTTGAAGAAGCTATCCTAGAAGCAACCAAAGAAACTACTAATAAAACAATTTATCAAAAAGATTTACAATTACAAGAAGACCCACAAGAAGAAAGTTCTAACAGAAAAAGCATAACAAGAAGAGATCTTGCAAAACTAGAACAACTCCCAAAAACAACATCAGTTAAAGAAATAAATGAAATAGCTAATAAGCTACAAGAAAACCCTACTAAAATAGATGAAGTAATACGAATTTATCAAAAGGAATATAATAATGATGATATCTTGAAGAAAGTATTATACGATGAAAAAGGAAACTTTATTGATTATGGCGAAATAATACCAAAGTTAATAAAAGCAAATGAAATATTGCAATGCGGATATGATAAAAAGAAAGTTAGAAAAATTGGAAAGAAAATTTACCATTGTAGTAACCCAACTGTTATCACATTATTGTAAAAGCAATATTCATGCTACCAAAAGAAAATTATATCAACCCATTAGATTTTCACACTGAAACTTTAGATAACATGATTGTTTGCCAAAAATGCTACCAGAAATATATAGAACATTTATTATTGGATCACATTAGGTCAGACCAGTATAAAAATACAAAGTTAGGAAAAGTAATTATAAAGAATGCACTATTTGTTCAAAAGGAAATTGGAAACAACATATGACAAACGATAGTGAATACAACTATT